ACTAAAACCCTAAAGTCGACTATAAAGCGATCATGCTGACCAACAATAAAATGTTATAAATACATTTGGTAACGAACTTGTTTCTAAAAGTTGCTGTTGTCGACACGTGACGGTGGGCTAGCGCACACCAGCTCGGAGCGCATGGAGCGAAAGCTCGCGCTGGAGAACCCAGGGATCCTGTGTTTAATCTCCAACCCTGCCCGTTTCGATCTGGATGAGCATCGTACTGGCGTGCGGTCGTGTATCACCGGTGCGTGGTGCACGTTAAAGACGCGAGGCTAGCAGTCGTACGGCACTGGCTAAATGACTGATCTACAGGTAGGAGACAAGTCGCCCGTTGAGGTAGACTAACCTCCTGCTGTATAAACAACTAACGACACATTTGACTTTTGGCTTTTTGACGAGAAAGAGTTTTGCGTCATCGTTCAGCGAGAATTCGTGTCCAATCACACGCTTCTTGGCCAAGAAATGGCGACCACCACTGTTGCTTGATGGGGTTTCGAAAATTATATATTTCCGCCTTACTGTGCGCTCTGAAAGAAACGGAAAATTAAGGGCCCTCAAAGGGGGGGCTACGCATGAGACCGCTTTTGAGAAATGCCGCAGAAACGGATAATATTTTTGTTTTAAGTCTAAGCATATTGTCAGCCTCATCATTTGTCGATCTCCCTCCGTAGGTTGCAAAGGTTTGGCTCTTCCAATTGCTACGCGGGAAAATAGACGATCGTGATTTTTAAGAGTGCACGGATCCTATGATCAATCTTAGGCCCCGTCCCCGTCGTGATGGACGGACTTTGTACAGGCACGAAGTCGCGTATCACTACAACGTGGTACACCTCAAAGACCACAAACTGCCCGTCGTATTCTACTGACCAGATTGCCCTTATGAAACGACTCGCTAAATTTCGATCAATTTCAATCGCTAAAGTCTCCCTAAATTTCAAGAGTGCTTTACCTCTCTAAGTAAACATATTCTTATGGCCCTTTTCTCATTTATTTACCAAATATATATATATATATATTTTTAAATTTTGAAAAGACCTTGACGTGCGATGTTATTGTAGACACTGTGGAATTTTGAAACTATTAGCCGCTCGCTACTATCTATTAAAATGAAAATCTATTTCGAGCAGCCAACTTCACCGAGTTTCCGATTAACGCAACAACGAGAGGTAATCTTGCCGTGCTACGCTATAATTTCCGGCTATGACAATGCGGTGCTTGGTATTTTATGCACTGGAATTGCCGCCTGGAAACAAACCTCGCCCTACTTCCGGATTACGCCGTGCGTTTCATTTTCCGAGTCGTTCTTTTTTGTTACGTCCTGGATTCAGAAACGCGGGCATTTCCTCGGGCCCGTTGAGTATTTCCGATTCCTCGAAGAGGTCGTGTTACATAATCTCCAGAGCAGAGAATATTGGTGAACAGCCTAGGCTACGGTGTAAAGTAGACCGTGTGACAAATCTGTACTCTCCCTCTTTCTCTCTCTCTCCCTCTCTTTCATTTTATAATTCTTGTTTCTGTTTGTAGCTTCTCAATAGAATTCTGGAAATCATGTGCACTACGATTTTCCTTTTAAAAATATTTTATTGCGTAAGTTTTGTCTAACCCGAATGCTGCAAGGCAATTGTTCAAACGGAACGTTAACGACATGATTCTGTGGTGCCCTCTCATGGTTATAACCGTGACGCCATGACAAGGATTATCAGAACTACGAAAAACACGTTGTTTCTGACACGTAAAATAAGCACGGTGGCATCTTATTTCATTGGGTTTTCAAACCAACCCCATCAAATTCTTATTTCCGCCGATGGAATCGAAGGTATCCCCACTAAAGATGTTTTAGTAAGAGTTTGACAAATCGAAGAAAGTCAACCACATCGAACTTTACTGCCTAGGCTAAGGCTCCACCTGAGCGCAATCCATCGCCATGCTTGTTTCATTGCCACTGAGAGGAATATGCGGGGAATGTTGATTCGCGCGTGTTTGAAGGGTTGAGTTGAAGTCTTCAACCGCAATATTATAGGGGAGTCCTGGAGGATGTTAAGTGCTGCACTTGAAAGTGTACGTTCCTATTTCTGAGGCTATTTTTTCAGCTAATGTCGATTGGTCAGTGGACATGAAACACATTGAATGTTTACTTTCCTAACTTCGCATAGAAATGCATAATTTTGCACGAACAAAAATTATACGAGCAAGCTGGATAGGAAACATCGTACACTGAGATTATGTTTACAGCTACAGCGCTGGTCTGATCCTTGTCACCGGTAAATGAAAAAAGCTTTCTAGGCTACTGATTGGACGTAAAGTTACAGCAATTTGCTGTGCAAAAAAGAAAAAAAAAATATCTACCTACGAAACATTTTCTTTGTTTACCTATTCGCGATTTTGCGGTTCTACGGTATTTGACACGCACGTGCTCCTCCCGAAAGCTTCTTTAATGTCAGAATACGCGAGGCACAAATATCGTTCTAAATTTGCAGAAGTACGTTTTTTTTATTGTTTCCTAACTTTAACAGGCGTTCAACACTCGAGCTTTTATACGATCACATCGCCCACGGGGCTGGGTTCGTTACAGAAAAATTCCCTCTTTCGATTTTGTGTATAGATGATCTGTAGATGTCCTCCTGTTTTATATTTGTCTGCAAATGAAACTTTGTAGTAGACTAAACCGCTCTCTTCACTCGCGTTAGAAAGCGAACTGTCTGCTAATGGTATCGTAGTCACGCTTCAGACTGGAAAATTGTTCAACCGATTTCGGCGTTGCTGAACTGCAACAACTCGAAGATGTGTAAATTGGCTCCAACCAATCAGGGACGTCTAATAGCCGGGATCTTCCTTCCAAAAATAAAACCAGCGCTGCTTGCTGACATAACAAAATCTGAAGTGTTTTTGCGATTCCGAGAAATTTAAGCGTTGTCGGTCATGTTTCATGGTCGCCATTTGGCTGCGATGAATAGCGCGAAAGGATGATATTGAAGGACTTCTTTTGCACATCATCTCCAAGGTTCAGGTTCTGAGCCCTGATAATCTTTGTGTTTCCGCGATTCGTCGCCTGTCGTTTCATGAATCTCTTAGTAGAGGTTTTAGCTCTTTTTACGAGTCTTTGCTGCATTTTAATAACAGTTGTAATTGTGTTGTGTGATTGCTTGGAAAATGGGAAGTGAGTCAGTCGCAATGGGCATGGTGTTTAATGTCTCCGCTGTAATATTCAAGAATCAATATTTGGTTCCCAGGAACGACCATTTCAACCTTGCTACGGGCACACCACCCGAAAAGAAAACACCACGCTACGCACAACTTTTAAAATTATCACAAAACGATTGAAGCAACACTAGGACTGAATCCTAACTTTACAAAGACATCACCTGCAGAATACCAAGACGCAAGTTGAACTGGGGGTTTCTCCAGGAATTGAAATTAGGGGGGGGGGGTAAATATTTAGAGGAGGGGAGGGGGTTAGGAGGGGGGGAGGCTTTGAGAATAGAGGAGTCGTTGCGAATACAGGGGGTGCCTCTAAAAAAACAAGGGGGGTGTACACCATCTCTAGGGGGTGTGTAGGGAAATCACCGAGTTGAACAGTAACCCACGTAAGTGGAAAGGTGAGAACACACCGTCTTATCTAACACAATAAAAAGGAACATCGAAAGCGAGACAAAGAGCACTGTTTTGTCGGTGACTTGCATTGTCATATCACTGTGTGATGTATCCGCCCCACGCATGTGCGCCCTATGTTACCGGTTGGCGCTCTGCCTACAAGCCCGGAGTGCCGCTGCTGTGACCGTTCACTTCATCGTTGTTCGTTCATGACGATTGACCATGTTGTCAATAAAGCAGTAAGCCATGCTGTCCCGGTGTCTGTTTGTACTTCCCACAACTTACCAGACACAACATACTTATTTAGGCCCATATAGTACGCGAAGCAATTTTAGAAATCTTCCTTCATACCCACCAAAGATATCCAAGTTACTAGCATGACCATTGTGTGTGTTCGCCATACGAGGTAGTGGATCATGATTCCTTAGTAAGAATAATAATGAAACTAATAATAATGATAATGATAACGATAACGACGACGATGACGATACCACTGCAGTTTGGGGTTTTTAACGTGCCCGGTGCACCACGTAGTAGTGGTACAGGACCGCACGTTGGTACGATGCTCATCTGAATAGAAACGGGCAATTGAGTTCAGAATCCCTTGGTTCTGCAGCGACAGCTTTCGCTTCACGTGCTCTGAGCTGCGGTGCGTTAACACAATCGGCCACCGATCCCCCCTTGCTACATTTCCAGCTAAGGAAGAAAAAAAGTGAGAAATAGTATGAAGAAAGAAATCACTGCAGAAACCACTATGGTTAGTTGTCTATGAATTGCGATAGCATTCGTCTAGGACAAGCTCAAAGACGACGTCCTAGAGGACAACATCAAAGATGACGTCTAGAAGGACCTCTAGGACGACCTCTGGGGCGATCTCAAGGACAACCTCTAGGACGACCACTAGGACGACCTTAAGAAAGACGGTTAGGACGACGTCAAGAACGATCTCTAGGGCGATCTTAAGGACGGCCTCTATGACGACCTCAAAGGCGAGGTCGAGGATGACCTCCTAAAAGACGACGTCAAAAACGACATCTAGGACGACCTCAAGGACAACCACTTGGGCGATCTCAAGGATAACCTCTAGGACGACCTCAAGGACAACGTCTAGGACGACGTCCTAGAGGACAACTTCAAAGATGACGTCCTAGAGGACAACTTCAAAGATGACGTCTAGGACGACTTTCACGACGAACTCAAGGACGCCGCCCAGGACGACGTCAAGGTCGTCAGGTCCTTTAAAGAGCGAGCGAATGCGAAGGGGTGTGAGAATCTGAACTGAAATAGTCTACTGCGCACACCTACTGCGCATTAGGAGGGCCGAAAGTTTAAGAAATTCGGGGGCGGGGGAGGGGTTGTAAAGTATGCTATTGAATTGAAAACAAACACAAGTGCTGACTCACCGTCGTCGTAGATGGGACCTCCCATGCGCGAGTGGCAGGTGAGGGCCTTTCCCCAAGCGGGCTGGGCCAGGTTATTGCACGAGCCGTCCAGAGACCGGTACCGTCCACGCTGACAGTTATCCGGGTACAGCTTCTGGCACAGGCTCCTCCACTTGTTCACAGGCTGCAGGGCCGTCAGGTCTAGCCGAGACACGGCCCTTTGGACGTCCTCCATGGACGCGTGATACCTAAAAAAAGACGAGCACTCTTTTTAACACACTATGTTGTTGGGTTGGTTTTTATACAAAATGTGCCACGCTCGAGTTGACGAGATTCACCCAACCAAGGCAACATAAGGCATACGCGGATCATAGCAGGCGATTCAAAAGCTTCTTAAAAGAATAAATTTTTTGTTGTCATAATTAATCAAATGTAATCACAATTAGGAGTGATTGATTACAACAAGCGAGATTTACGAAGAGGCTCTGTGACGGCTCTGGTCGGCGCCACTGAACCACAAGAGCCAGAGTTAGGCTTTATTATGGTTATTCGGTTTTCACGTGGCACTTTTGGGCAAATAGTGCCAAACAGGTGCAAGTTACCTAACTTTAGAGTTAGGCTTTATTGTTTGTTAGGCTGATATGTGGCATCTTCGACTAAAGTCTGGTACTTGGGTACTTTTTTAGCAACCCAGAAAAAGCCATCGAAAAGCAATAGACAAATGGAAGAAATTTACTTTGGCATTAACTAACGCCTTAGAGCAAAACCATATTAGGCCCAGGTTCGGCTCCTAGAATAGCCAAACTTGAATAAAGTTTGGCGTTTCTGTGACACGATGCCTAGGGAAAAGAAAATTATACGTAAACTGCTCATGCCGGAGTAGCGAACAGCTCGCTATGTGATAGGCGTGCTGGTTTCTGCAACTTTATGTTTAGTTCAGTAGCTTGTATTATAATTAGCAAAGAGGGAATCCTGGACTGTGTGCTGCCTGCCTAGGAGGCGCTGCCAGCTGTACCTGCGCGGAATTGGTGCTCTTGCACAGGATGCCTGCAATTTTTGCTCGACTCTGCATGACGAGACTACTTTGAAAGTGTACTGGACGAAAATGCACAGTCACCCATTGGTTGGTTTAAAGTGAGCTCCTGTGGTTTTTGGAGCTGCCCACGCCAAACACATCTTCGGTATTTCCAGGCTTTACTCTTTCCGGCATGTGATTAATGATCTCTACATTCAATACAGCTATTGAGAAAACGGGCAGCGAAATTTATGCCACAACCGATATTCAGGTTTTTCTGACATCTCCAGTGGCTTGACGTCACAGGTATAACTTGCAAGTCGAGCAGGCAATAAAAAGAAACATCTCTATTTAGCACGTTTTTCCCTTTTACTTGTGTGAGTTTCCGCAGCAATAACTTCAGATGGTCAAATTCCTTTTAACTTGTCAGAAACAACCTGTACTGCCCGCATGTCACAACATTTCAGGTCATCACTAGAGATTCACACACTCAGACCAAATTTTATCTTTTAATAACGTGACAAACAAGAAATATTATGTCTTGTAATTTGAGTAGCTTGTTTGAATGTGACTATTAATGTCTTGAATCTATTTTGAGAAATATCAGTGGATATCAGAAACTTGTCACTGCTCTCTTTATGCTAATGAATGAGATATTGGTATCATATAATATTCGATCTGAGTAGAAGGTCTGGCCACATTTTTGCTAGTGTTACAGTATAACGATTGGTGCTGAAAAATACTCACATTTCTCAGTAACTACGCTGATTAAAAATCCATATTGAAAAAACAAATAATTCACATTCTTTATATACACTATATAACATTATACATTATAAGCAACTTGTCATGTTATATTTATTTTTCTCGATTAAGAACTCCCAGGTAACTTTAATGTTCTTGCCTTATAGTTTTCTACCACAGTGCCCCGCCAGATGGCACATGGGTGCCGTTGGTTTTTGTTTTTATTTTTTTTGTAAAGCTATAAAATTTTTATTGAACGAATGCAGACAGCAGGCGACAATATTTCGTGCTTTACGCGTAAAAAAACGTGCGTAAGATACTTGAAATTGTCTTTAAGCACTTAGAATTGTAACGTCTACTGATAAAACTACTTTGTCAGTTTTTGTGTGTAGAGATCTTTTATACGGTTTTAAATGGAGTATTGGCCATATGGATGTTTACGTTTATTTCAGTAAGGGACACAAATGATTAATGTGTGGTGTGTATCGGGTCGCAGTATGCATAACACATACTTAAGGCAATAAACCGTATGAACCGTATGTGATAATCAATGTCCCCAAACAAATTCACAAATTGAATCGTCTTGCAACTTGTGACCGAAATTTGATGAACAGGGAGCGCAAAAAATTACACCGAGAATGTCTCAAGTGAACTTAATAACAAGACTCCGGTACAATTTTTTTTTCTAAGAAAGGGAACTTCTTTATTTTGTAAAAACAATGGCATTTCCAATTTTACGATTCGTTATCACGACGAGTTGAAATTCAAGATATCAGAAAGGGGCACGTTGAACCAAATGCAAAAAAAAAGATAATAATAAGTCGGGAATAGAAGTAGAAGATATACGTCCGTGAGGTGGAAATTAGCATGAAAAAATACTGTATTAATTTTGTCTCTAATTATTCCGGAATATATAACACTGTATCGATATGTTCCGCTGGAATTCTTTTTTTTAAGATGAAAACGAGTATAGCCCATGTAATCGGAATGAAACACATAGGTGCAAGCAACGCGAGCTCTCATCGAGGGGACATTTCTTCCACGCATTGCTCAAGATCGCACAAGGGACCAGGAACCTTTAAGGCTTTCACCTCGCGCCTGTAATATCTGCTGTGCTTCAAGCTAAGGCAAAGTAGAGAAAAGTTCCTTTTTTCACAACGGTACGCATAGCGATCGAATCCCGCTGCAAATAGTTCATTACGGCCACAAGCCTGGTTTGTTAAACCTCGGAGCACGCTGTGCCCCGAAGGAGCTCTATACGCATTGCTTCTTTAATGGTAGTTAATTGCACTAGTGATAGACACTTTAAGCGTGCAGACAGTTTTTTACGATGCATCAAAAATATTTTGGCTCGTCGCTTCTGCGCGTTTGTGTTGCACCGCCCCCCACAGTCCATTCTGGTAATCGCCTTCTCCGCACCGCCATTTTTGTCTACCGGGTTCTGAAACGGAGCATATGGAATCGACAGTACGAACCTTGAGTTGCGAGTCAGCGCCGAGTGCGTGTATATTTATTTAGTGTGTCTGTGTTTGTAAGTGTTTCTCTTGTGGTGCGCTGTAACGTTAAATAGCGTGAACTACCAACTCGCCCAGTCAGCAGTCTTATCAGCTTATATTTCTAATACATCGGGCCCGTTTAAGCAGCATCCGGTGATCCTTATCCAGCTGGTCACTTGGTTAGCTATCTGCATCTGCCAAGTACGATCCTATGTGTACAGTACTGCATTCGAGTAAAAATGCTACCCCCTGAAGTCAAATCGCTCCCTGGAGGCTTTGTCCCGTCTGTAGGCCACGTAAAAAGGATTTGCAAAAGCCTTCCAGCTGAATCGCATAGGCAGACAAGGCACTACAAGAACTACCTTTGCGTACAGCTCTAAATAAACGTACCTCACCCGGTTGGAAAAAGGAGATGTCGTGAGCACAGAGCCTTGGTCGATGAGAAGACAGAATACCTCTGCAGACTCATTCTAAGGCACCTCAGACTTAACACAGAGAAGAATGAAAACTTAAGGTGTATTGAAGAACAGATCGATGCTTTTGGTGCCGTTTCCTCTCAGACAGCGTCGGGTCTTTCCCAAAGCCAGTTTTCGAACTTGGTCACCATTTAGCTTCAGTCCACCTTCACTACCTCGGGGGGTGGGGGGGCATACATATCTCCAAAAAAAAGGGTTATGCATAGGATCTAGAATTGCCCCGGTCCTCATTGACCTCTATTTAGCACACTATGACAGGATTCAAAAGGAAAAGTTAGATACGTCAGAAGTAGTGAAAGTGTGTAGGTATGTGGATGATTTCTTAATATTCCTAGATACAGAACGCAACAGCTTTAATACCTTAATGATGGAAGTTATTGCCAGTTTTAGAAATTGTATGGAACCATTGGGAATCACTTATGAACTCCTGGATGCAGCATCATTAAGATTCCCAGACCTCAGACTAGAAGTGTTAGCTCGACATGTATGCTGGCCTTATGAGCCTAGAGGAAAAAACTCGCTCCTCCCATTCCACTCAGCGCACTCCAAACTTGTGAAGAGGGCGTCGTGAGGATGTGTCTAAAAAATTCAATCACCAAATCTTGCACGCACACAATTCAATAGAGCTTCAATGGGCAAGTTGAAAGATTAAAGTACGCAGAATATCCTGATTCGTTATTGACATCAGTGGTTTAAAAACTCCTTAATGAGATCAGGCAAGGTGATAGCGGGAATCGAAACTCCAAGGACAAGCCAAAAAGACTGGTGGCGGTAACATACATGCGTAAGTTCTCTCATAGCCAAGAGGGCAGCGAATAGAGTTAACGTAGATGTAGTCTTTTCAGCCCTAAAAAAGCTCTACAGCATGTGTAAAAATGTAAATTTGACTTCAAATAACACCGTAGGTAGCACCAAGAAGCACATAACAAACTTAGTTCACTGTGTTGAAGGTTTAATTTATTCCTTCCCACTTTCTTTTGGGGGAGTGTACATAGGACAGACTGGTTTGTGTCTGAATGACCGCCTTCGTGAGCATATTAACATCGTCGTCAATGCCAACTTTGGACCTTTGGGACTACACTGTAGGGACTGTGGGTGTTCAGCGCTTTTGAGCAACTGCACTGCGCTGAGAAGGATACCGAATCAGCTTACCAGGGAGATTATTGAGGCAGCAAGTATCGAAGGACACACTGACAAGTGTGTCCAGCAGGCCATCTTTAACTCTCTCACAGAGGGAGCTTGAGTATTTTACCAAAAGGTATCTTAGGCACCAGCAGTGAGAATTCTTTATTATTATTTTTTTAATATAAAAAAAATTTATTGTGTTTTTATTTTTTATTCTTTCTTCATTCATTTGATGTCGTCATCTTGTTTATAGAATATAGAAAAAGAGGAGGTTGTTCTTTGTGCATAGAAGAAGACAATACAAACCATGAGTTGTGAGTCAGCGCCGAGTGAGTGTATATTTATTTAGTGTGTGTGTTTGTGAGTGTTTCTCTCGTGGTGCGGCTGTAACG